GGGCAGAGCTCAAGGATGGGCTCCAAACCCCACGTTTGTTTTGATGTTTCTAGCTCTCGCCTTTGAGAGCTGTGCGGGAACACTCATACCCAGGAGCTAAGTAACACCAAGTAGACTCGTTTTTCTGTCTCAACAGAGAAAAAAGGAAAATAGCTTTGAGTGTTTTTAACACTTAGAACCGAGAAAAAAAAAAAAAAAAAAAATCTCCCTTTTAGAACTCTTCACCAATAGAGTATTGGGACTGTCTGGGCAATTGTAGCATCTGCCAGTTGTGCCATTTCTTAGAGTGTAGCAACTTGTTGGTGTTTTTTGCTGCTCATTTTGAGGAGAGGCAATGGAACAGGGTTTATGAGACTGCTGTTGATCAACCCGCATAGGAAAAATCCTGATACAGAGGCGACGAGGAGACTCAAAGAGCCAAAGTGTACTCTGCGAAGTTTCCACCAGACATTTACAGGAGAAAAGTTTTTTCTCATCTACCCAATACTAAGTAAGTGTCTTTCATCATTATGTACAGTTAGGCTCAGCTGAACAGCGAGTGTGCTGTGCTTAAAGGAAAATTTCCAAATTTCAGGGGCTTTGATCAGGTTTTTTGCTTGGTTCAGGTGACACAGTGGGGAATTGAGCAGGCTCACACATTATTCAGCCTGCACCAGCATGAATGCAGGGCGCATCATTTGGGCATGCCTGTCTTCGTGAGAAAGGCTGAAGCATTAAGACTTGATAGAAATTTAATTTTTTAAATTTTGCACGTTAAAAAAATCTACCACGCACTCAGCCAAATACTTTATCTCTTTTGTTACCTGCAGCCAACCTGAGGAATTTCTATTTTCCAGTGCATTTACCCAGCACATTTGACAGAACTTTACGCATCCTGCATTTATCGCATTCTTTGTACGCAACTTTCTCTCAGAAGCTAAGGAAAAAATAAAGTCAATTTAAAGAGCAAATAGCAGCCTGGATTTAAAACCTCAGGTAGCAGGGGGTACGCTCAAAATTACTGCTTTTACGCTGCCCAGATCTCTAGTTAACAGCCTTTTTAAAGGCCAAAAATACTAACTGGAAGAACTGTATTCTCCTTAGTTGGCCACCCGCAATCGTGTTTGCAGCATCAGCTGCAATAATGCACCAAGCAAAAAGATCTCGGCACCAGTATTTTGAGAAACACTGAGTTTCCCCACAGGGATCCAACTGTTCGTTTACGTGCTGCCTTGAAGAAGCAAAGGCTGGGCTGGGGATGTATCTCCAGATAACCCTCTCTGGGGCAGCTTCTGCACCCAGCGTGAACCAGGGGATGCTGAGGAACCTGAGCAACTGTTCCCTGGAGTGAATATTGATTTAAAGCTGTTCTGAAGCTACAAACTGTCTTTCTCTCAAAAGCCCCCCTTCAGAACACATTTTGCTAGAAATGATTAATTCTATTGCCATCTTTCATCAAACACACTTTAAGGTCCACCATGAGACTGATACTAGAAATGCAGGTGTAAATTGATGGGATTGAGGTTCTGGAGCATGTCCAGAGAAGGGCAACGGAGCTGGTGAGGGGTCTGGAGCACAAGTCTTGTGAAGAGAGGCTGAGGGAGCTGGGGGTGTTCAGCCTGGAGAAAAGGGGGCTGATGGGAGACCTTCTGGCTCTCTCCAACTCCCTGAAAGGAGGGTGTAGCCAAGAGGAGTCGGTCTCTTCTCCCAAGGAATAGGCGACAGGACAAGAGGAAATGGCCTCAAGTTGTACTGGGGGGGCTTAGGATACTAGGAAAAATTTCTTCGTGGAAAGGATTGTCAAACACTGGAACAGGCTGCCCAGGGAAGTGGTGGAGGCACCATCCCTGGAGAGATTTAAAAGACGGATAGACGTGGGGCTGAGGGGCATGGTTTAGTGGTGGTTTTGGCAGTGCTGGGCTGATGGTTGGACTCAATGATCTTAAAGGTCTTTTCCAACCTAAATGATTCTATGATTGTGTCTGTTCCCCAAACAGGCTGGGAATGTAAAAGCTTGGGTGTGGAGGGACAGTACCCGAGTAAGTTCTCCCAAGAGCACAGCGCTGCCAGACAAACAAGAGCTCGATCAGAATTTAGCAAATTACTGAAAACTATTAGAAATGCCTCTGTAAGGTGCAAAATTAGGGACCCTCCATCCACCTGCCCACCAAGGAAGAGGGCCTCTTGTACAGCAACACAGGCAGAGCCTGAGATGGAGAAAAGAGCCAAGTTAGACTCTTAGGAACTCTAACATCCTTAGGTTTCCTCTCAAGTTTGGGCCAGGCTGGTACATCAGTGTAAATTGGCTTCACTTTCCCACTCAATACCTGGCTCTGCTAATACTTGAGTATGTAAGGATTTGAGTTTGTTTGGTCTTTTTATTTTTTTGCTTCAGGTTTAGAAGCTCCCAAGAGATTCAGGTTTTTCTCACCTCACTGCATTTGGATTATTACTTATCTATATTGTGAATAAATTATTTTAATATCTTTTTTAAGGGAAAAAAAAAACAAAAAACCCAACATTTTTTCTCATCTATCGCTGCATTCCAAATAACCAGTTTTTAAGACCCTGGGGGATTTAAAGCAAATTTATTTACCCTCATTGAAGGAAACGACATTAAACTCACCATGGAAAAGTGTTGTAATTCTCCTTCACTATACATACATTAGCAAATTGAAAACACTTAAGTATGAATTACACCATGCTTTTGCTATAGATTTTGGATTTTTTCCCCTACAAGCTTTTTGAGCTACACCGCTACACGGACCCTCGTTTTTTTTAAAAGCTGTTAAGGAAACACGTGAGCACAGTGTTGTCATTAATGTCAACTGGATACCGAAATCCACTAAGTGGTTTTGAAAAATCAGAGTTTATTCTGCACCTGATTGACCCTGTGAAGGCAAATAAACTCCATCAAATCACACTGAGGGAGGAACTTTTCCTTCACTGCCTGCCCTGGACCTCAGCTACAAGTTTTAACCACTGCAGGAAGGCATGAATCAGCAGAACCCAGTTGCCATCTCTGCGCATCGCTGGGCGTTCATCTCCCAGCAAAGTGGCAAACATCCCCCTAAGAACAACACTTTTTATTGCTCTCGCCTGCCATTTGCTGATCTTCAAGACTTTCGGTCTTGAAGATCATCATCATCAATTAAATCAATTGAATCAATTAAAAGTATTTTATTGAGGGGAAAAGAAAGAGCCAAAGCTAACAAAATTACTTGTCAGATGTCATAAAATACCAAGAGGCCGTTCCAGGAGCATTAAACCATCATCTTACCCCTCTGTTCAAATAGTAGCATATGCTCCACCTCCCATTTGCTCGATAATCCCTAACATTTTGCTGCTTGGGTTACTGGTGTATAACAAAGCCACTTTTATCCTGCTCTGACCTTGCCTGGTATTCAGAAAAGGTGGGGAGAAAAAGATCGGATTCGCTTTCATGCAGAAATCACTCTGGCACAGTCTCATCGCCTCCCGTTTCTCTGGTTTCTTTGAGGTCTGCCATTGGAGCGCTCTGATGGGCGTCCTGCTGATCTACTAATTGCCAATACTCGCGCTCGGCGGCGGCCTTATCAATTGTCGACACAAGGCCTTCCATGATAAAGTGGATCAATTGTAGCGCCGATCATCTGCTCCCTGAATTATCGATGTTTGACAGTGGAATTAATTTTTTTCTTGCCTGCTTCAAAGATGTCTGCCAAAAATTAAAAAGTGCACATCCACACTCAGCCACGGGGTCTCTCTCTTCGGGGGATGTGGTTTCTCTAACCACCGGAATCTGTCAGAGGCAGAAGCCCTGTCGACATAAGAAGATTCCTTTGTCATGGGTCAGGAACAAGGCAACTTTTCCCAGTGACAGCTATTTTGGTTCACTAAAACTGCAGAATCGCTTTGTGACATTAAATTGACTCTTCCTGATTTTTCTTTTTTCCGTTCTCAAAATGGAAGGGGAAAATTTAATCCGTGAAAATTTAAAAACACTTCATTTACATTAAAAGTCAGGCTTGTATCTTTCTCCCCATTTATGGTTCCACAACGTGACACCAGGTCAGGCAGGGGAGAAAACCCAGCACAGAGGGGAGATGCTGCCACAGTGAGGGGTGAGGAGAGTGAATGTCCGTACTGACAGACACCTCTCATTGCTGACAGTATTTTCATCGGCTTTTGGAACTGTTGGCCTCGAGCACTGGCACCTCTGCCCAATGGTTCTGCTTCCTGGTGGCTGTGACCTCACTGAGCATCAGGCCTCCTGTTCAGCTAGGTTGTGAGGAGACGCACAAGGTCTGTACCTTTTGTTGGAGTGTATAAAAATTTGATCCAATGACAAAATGCATCACCATAACGCGCTGTGCTGATGAAATGCTGATGGTGACAAGAGGAAATGGGCACAAACTTGAATATAAGAAGTTCCACCTAAACATGAGGAGGAACTTCTTTCCTGTGAGGGTGGCAGAGCCCTGGAAGAGGCTGACCAGGGAGGTGGGTGCGTCTCCGTCTCTGGAGACATTCAAAACCCGTCTGGACACGTTCCTGTGCAACCTGCTCTGGGTGGCCCTGCTCTGGCAGGGGGGTGGACTGGATGATCTCCAGAGGGCCCTTCCAACCCCATAGCATTCTGTGCTTCTGTGAAATGGCCCCTGCACTGACAGCCCAGGCTCCGGTGGGGACACAGGCCCTAATCCTGCCGCGCCCTAATGGCACCACAGGCGGTCCCTGCTGAGGCCCGGGACACCTCCCCCCCGCATCCCCGCGGGGCATCAGCAGGCTGCGGGCTGAGCGGTTGACCGTGAAGACCGCGGGCGGCCACCCGGCCTCCATGCCACCGGGCCGCATCCCTCGGCCTTTGCCCCCCGCTTCAAAATGGCGGCGCCCCCGGGGCCGCTCTACCCCTCGGTCCTCCAGGCTCGTCTCCCCGGGCCGCGCTCCCCCCGCCCCCCGCACACACCCCGGAGGGGGCGGCGGCGCCTGCGCAGGGGCGCGAGCGTCTTCACTTCCGTCTGCCGGCGGCCGCTTCCGGGCCCCCGTTCCTTGGTAACAATGGAGCAGAAAATGGCCGCCTGAGAGGGGAGGGAGGGCGACGCTGCGGCTGTTTGGGGACGGACGGAGCGGGGAGAGCCGGGACCGAGCCCGCTGAGGAGCTGGGAGAGCAGCGGACCGAGAGCTGGGGAGGCGACGGCGGGCGGTGGCGGCGGGAGGTGAGTATCGAGGCCGGAGGCGGACTCTCAAAATGGCCCGGAGAAGGGAGAGGCCCAGGCCCAGGGGAGGCGGCGGCGGCGGCTGCGGCCCCCGCCCGGAGCCGGGAGGGTTGTAAAGCCCCTCTGCTCTCGCTCCGGGACCCCGCCGTGCGGACTGCGGGGTGCCGGGCAGGGTAGGGCGGCTCCAGGCTCCGTGGGGCTCGGGAGGCCGAAACCGCCCCGCGGCAGAGGCGGAGCGGGGTGCCGTGATGGAGCTGGGGGCGGTGATGGCGGTCTGGGCGCGGGTGTGCCCGGGGCACTGAGAGAATCCTGGGCCCTCCTCTCCCCGGGATGGGCCGGGCTGTGTCACCCTGGGGGCTTTTCCTCTTTCTCCCGGGGCGTGTGGTGGGGCGAACCTGTTCCTCCCTTCGGAGCTGGAGGAGGGTTTGCGCTACCCCCTCAGGGCGGGCTGCTGGGCCCCTCACCCTCTAGGTATCTAGTTGGGCTGGAGAAAGAGTTGAATCTAGCCCCTTTTTGGAGGGGTGGAGTGGGGGGAGGAATTATAGCCACTGTCTTGGGCCTCGCCATACTGTTTAGTGCCCACTTAAGGAATCTGCAGCTCTTCAGGACCGTGTTTTCAGTCTTTTCTTCCTCGGAGTTGAAACAAGAAGCCTTGTTGTGGGAGACAGGCAAGAGGAGCTCTTCATATCTCTGTGTCTGTTGTAAGGGTCTTGATCAGCTTGTGACTTGTTAAAACCTGTGATGTTTGCTATTCCTATCCTGTTAGTTTCACTCCAATTAACCTCGTCATCTTTGCTCTGTCACCTTAGTTTCCTGTGCAAGTTCTTGCTTCCCTTTTTAATATTGTTTGTTGACATTTAAGGTTTCTGTTTAGTGTGTTTCAAAACCATTGTAAAATCCAGCTAGATGTATGTATTACTTTATCTTAAGTGATCTGCTTTAATGTAGAAGCAACATCAGGTTGTATATAATGTAGTATAACATAGTTATTAAGGTTTGTTATGTGTCAATTTTAGTAGGAGGAGCCTGACAAAATGTTTCACAGCAGAAAAAGTACAGGTTTTATTTTGTTTTTAGAATAGTTTTGTTTGTTTCACCTTTTTTCAGGAAGATAGTGTCTTTATACAGAGAAGCTTGTAAACAAGAATTCAAACTTGATCGTACCCAATAGTGCCATAACATGTCAGATTTATTTTCCCTGTCCATATTGGCAGTACTGATTAATTTCAAGTGATAAATTATTGTCAAAATGCTAAAGAAGCTCTGACACCAATTTGTCCCAGAATTTTAATTGCAGTTACTTGTCAAGTCTTTTTAAAAAAAACAAATAGCTGGCTGCTTCTTGTGCAGTTAATTATCTTAATTAAGAGTCAGATGCTTAGTTGTGTTGGAGTGGTCATCTAGCACTTAAACTGACTGTATTCCCTCTACAGGTTTACCATTTTGGAATTAAAAGAATTATAGCTTGGAATTATGTCTGGCCTGTTCCTGGAAAGGGGAAAACACACCACACACCATAAAATTAAGGGCTTCATGTTATGTTAGACCGCTAAAGCATAACAACTACTGTGTTCTCTTCATCAACAATTCTGACTATGTAAATGTTTGTCACTGAAATAACCGTACCAGCGTTTTTCAAGCATGTAGCGGTTGTGATCTGTATCATATATATTTTCCATTTTACTGAATTCGTAGATGTGCCAAGATGTACTGGAAAACAATGTTAGAAATGTCTGGTCTCCATCACCTGTCCTTTTTTCTTTCTGTTGTACTGATATTTTTACAGGAATGGGTAGTGTGATTCCTAAATGGAAATGTTTTTATAACCGCTATATATTAATATACATGCCTAGCTTGTTCCTTTATTCCTCTTATCTATGGGAATGTATCAAAATCAATTCCTCAATGTTGATAGAATGCTTCTATAGCTTAACGCTTTACTAGGCTGTTCTAATTTTTTTTTGTAGAGAACTCAGTTTCCATGCACTAAAACATTCGAATCCAAACAAGATTGTTGATTATTTATCCAAGTTTTTGTGACTTAATCTCAGTCTTAATGAAAGTGTATCGACTCTTGAGCTTGCAAAAGTTGATCTTGAAGGGATAAAACCAAACGTGAGCATCTCTGTCCTCAAGATATTTTGATGATGATCTCGTGCAAACTCAAAACCAAGACTTCTGAAGAGTGTAGCAGTGTAATAACTTAAAGTTAGGACCTTTGTATGGTGAGTAGGGATAGCCAGGAGCATCACAGGCATCCCTTTTGTTTTTGCACAGGTTCTTGGCTCCAATTAAGATCACAAGAAACACACACCTGTGTCTCCTTGAAACTGTTCAGGTTTATATTAACGAGGTACTTGTTAATAATTTTTGCTGATGTGCGGTGTTGAAGCTCAGCTTCTTACTCAAGGAGGTCTGCAGAGTTGTATGATCTCATAAAACTGTGTAATGGTAATTGAATATGTAGGAAAAGTCAGCGCACATTTTCTCTTAATTTAATAACTTTAAAACACTTTGCTTAGAGCACTCTTAATTTCAATATGCAAGATGTATGCGCATGTAGTCTTGTTAAAATGCTTGAGCTTGTCTGCCTTGGTGTACCATCAGAAATTGAATTCTAGTCTTACAGATACCTATTTGAATTCAAATAAATTTTACTTAACAAATACAGAAATGGAAAATATAATTAGGTACTAGACATCAACAACAACAAAAATCCATGTATCGGCATTCCTGTGTGGGTTGTGGTTGTAGTGACTGCCATTGTTTTATTGGCCTGCTGCTTTTGGTAGTATCTGTCTTAGAAGCAGTTTTGTGGAGATGGTGAGATTTGGTAGTAAATTTAAAGGTGTTTTATTCTTTTTTTTTTAATTGAAATTCAGTGAATTATGTTTGGCTTAGTGCTTTCACTAACCAGAAGTTCTGTTTCTTCAGAAATTAAAATGCGGTCATCGTGTAATTTTGTGGGTACAATTTCCTTGGATATTATTCCTGTTTATACTGCTAGCACTGGCTACTTGAGTGCAATATAACTTCTTCTTTGAGCTTCAGAGTAGGCCTTCTGCTTGCTGACCTAGCAGGAAGATCACTTTTTGAGGAAAACAGCATAATTTCATGAGATTTCAGTGCCGGAAACTTGTTACACCTTGTATACGCTAAGCTTTCTTGTCCGTGATATCATCTGAATTTGAGGGGGAAAGGCAGTACTATCTTAATTTTATTTTCAACTTGCATGTGAGAAGTTGTTTCAGTTAAGTGCAGATGATAAAACGCGAAGCCCTGGATTTTGGCAGTTCTTGCTGCATTTTATTTTCAGAGCTCCATCTTTCAGAGTTCCACATGCTCTCAGTATTCTGGAATTGCTAAGCTCTAGCCTTTCGTACGGAAGATAACACTGCAAAGCTGCAGTGAGTTTTGTTCCTTTTTTAACTAGATCTCTTTGAGTTGGGAATTTATGCAGTAGGATGGCTTGTCTGCCTTAGATGCTGTAGGACTGTTAGAGACTGATGAGATTCTGTACCCTGATTTCTTCCCTTCTTTCTGACTTCTCCAGAGTTGATAGTACATCTAACAGTGTTTCTCTTCTTCATCTCAACAGTTGGTTCTGTTGAAATATTTTCCTGTCTTTTTTTTTTTTTTATTATTCTGTTGAATTTCTATGGAACTGTTCTGCAAAAGTATTCATCTGCTTTCTATTGTTTAAAATACATGTTCAGAGTGACATCTTGGTTTAGGGTCTTTGCTTTGAAACATACTGGGGTAGTGAAATAGCTGAATTGATGTTTAACATTCCTCCTTAAGCTGTCATTTAAATTTTATAGCAGTTTCCACAGAACACTTCGTAGAAGTCAAAATTTTCTTCCAGCTTTCCAAAAGTGAGACATATTCCATGATGTTTTTTGAGGCAAAGAGGACGTAGGGAATCCTTGAGCTCTTAAAATTTGTAGTAAGCTTAGTGGAAATCTAGTAGGAGGTAGATCTGTGGTTCATCAGTGTGTCAATGGAGAGCAAGAATAGCAGGGGGGAAAAAAAAGTATATCCAAAATTCATGATGCAACTTTGAAAACTAGAAAAGTTTGTTACTTGTTAATGTTTCTAAGATGTAGATGAGTACCTGGACTACCAAAGCCTTTGGTGTGGTTGCAAAAGGAAACTCGTGCACCTGCACAAAAAGAAAAAAAAATCAAACTTGACATAAGGAAGCTCCCTGACTAATGCAAATAGATAGCTGTTTCATTTCACTGTTTTATGGTATCTTTCTCCTTTAATGATAGAATTCACTGACAGTCAGGATTTGCTTCTGAGCTTGCAGAGTTGAATGAAGAAATATTTAAGATGAAAACATAGTTTCTCCTATGTCTTATTTTCTGCTAGTTTTGAGCGTTGAGAAATTGGATACTGACTGGCATGGAAATTATTTTTCAACTTTGAATTCTTCTAGGAAAATCTAGTAGTTGGAAGGTGGGGTGCACGTGAAGTTGGTTCTGTTTGTGCTTCAAGAGCCCGAGGTCCCAGAACTGCCTGTTCTAGTGCTGTTCCTGTGTCATTTGAGAAATGGAATCGGAGAGGCCGGGGCTGGTGCTGCCAGACGGGGTGGTATGTTAGAGCCGCTCGAGTCAGAGTTCATGGAAAGCACTTTGAGCAGACAGCTGTGTTGTGCTTCTGCTGTAGAGCTAAAATGTCTTCGCCATACATTCAGTGAAAGCACAGGAGGAAAAAAATAGTTAATCTGTAACAACCCAAACTAGAAAATAAGTATTTCAGGCTTCTACTACTGAGTCATTTCTCTTAGTCAAAGGGTTTGATAATTTCTGAAGACTGGAAGTAAGCAAGGTGCTCTACCGGTTGAAGTACCTAATTAAGATGAGGTTATGAATCATAAATGAGAAATTAGCCTTCTGCTGAGCACATCTATGAAACACTTATTCATATTGCCATCATCTTTTTTTGTTTATACAAAGGTATTAATTATGTTGCTGGGACGTGAGGTAGTTCAGGAAATGTTCCTAACATACAGGGCACTACAAATTCTCATGTAAGGTTGAAATACCAGTTACACCTAGATGGGGGGAATTTTAGAGGAAATTTTTGTTGCACAGCTAGCTTGTGAGCATCTGAATTGTTTCTGCAGTTTAACTAATTTAGCGTCTTTCTCCTGTTAAAATTTGAGATTTGCCCCATAAATCTAATGAAGCTTATAACTTTTAAGATATTACTTTTACTTTTAACTCTGCAGATGAGTGATTTCTGAGGTTGTCACATCTTCTAAGTTTTACCTAGCTAGTTTAATGAGAGTTCTAATATTTTATTGTGGTTGGTTTTTTTAAATATAAAATGAACACAGAGCTAAGGTAGTGTCTTGAAACTAATGTCAGGGCACATTAAACATTTTTGAAGGAGGAAGAGCCCAGTGATTTATCCCTGTACCATGTGGTCCGTTAGTAGTTGTTCTGTAGCCTGTAAGTGCGAAGCAGTATGGAGATACATGATGTTATTGTTGAGGGTAATGGACAACACAAGTATTTTATCACTGCTTGCTGGCCCACTGGATTTTTTTTTTTTAAGCAGTAGTAAATTCCTGACTGATTGGATTTAGTTTACACACGACTTGGCATAAGGGAAAATGTAAAATATTTCTTGTACCCTGAGAATGATAACTTCACATTATTGAAGGAATATCTAGTACTCTTACACTGTTCCTATGCAAAAAAGCATAATATTACTTCCTCTTGAATAAAAGAATGTAACAAACAATACCTTTTGTGGGCTTTCTGTTTTTGCTGCTGCAGTCTGGAGCAGCAGTGGAGAGAGAGCTAGTGATTTGTGCTCTGAAATCTCTGCGACTGCTGAGGCGGAACTGCAGGGAAGAGACTTTGCTGACTTGTGGAAGGATGGGAACACCAATTAAGAATTCACTGTAGTTAATGTGTCTGGATATTCAGCTGCTGAAGAATTTTCTCCTTTGTTTCTTTGTTTCTTTCTTTTTTTTTTTTTAAAGGAGAACATCATTTATTCTAGCTGTGATTCTGTTTTGTGCAAAGTTTAGGTGATTTCCTTTCCCCTCTGCCTAGTTTTCCCATAAACAGATTGTAATTCGTGGATGTCTCAGCTGAAGTTGGCAATAGTCAACAGATCTGAACTTCCTGCTCGTAGATGTGACCTTCCCCACCCTTTGTCAACTCAGTGCTGACAAGGAAGGACACTAAAGAAGGAAATTCTGAATTTTTAACTTGGATAAGAACAAAGTCTTACTTTGAGTTGAACTAAACCACTGGAAAAAAAAGAGAGTTGAAGCGCACCTGCTGATTGGATAATGGAGTGTTGGTTATTTGGTTGGAACTTAATGGTATACCTGTTGGGTTTCCCTTATCAGGTTTCCCTGTGTTACTGTAGTCAGCTTCCTTAAGCCAGTTTTAATTTTCTGCAGCATACGAGCTGAGAGCAGAATCCTGAATGAAGGACAGGCTTTCAAGTTATTCCTCCAACCCTCTGCCGTGCTCAAATAGGAGCAAGGTGATGTAGTAGCTGCCACCATAGAAATCCTGTTGTACAACCAGATGGGACTCATGGAGTTATGTTGAGACAGTAGAAGTCTAAATAGTCTTGTAAGTTCAGTCGGGTAACACAGTGCTCTGAAGTGGTGCCGGGAGGTGAAGCTTGAAATGGACAATGTGGACAATGAGCTGAGTGGACAGTGAAGAGGTAGAAAGTACCAGAAGCCTTGGGGTAGAAATGCTATTTTCCATTTACTGCTTATAATATCAGAGCTCTGGTTTGAAGAGTATTGTCCCGTTTGCTGTCAATAGTAAGGTAGGGAGAACGTGCTGATGTGCATTTATGCATTTCTTTGCCATCTGTATTTCCATCAGTGTAAACATCCCATATAGATACAGCGTTTCTAGGACATTGAAGCTGAACAGCATGAAGTTGGGATACTGTGGGCGAGTTTAATCTGTTACAGTCACTTGCAATATGAAAATACAGTGAGTTTGTCACTAGTAGAAATAGAGTTTAATTTACATTAGGACTTAATTCAAGATCCTTCCTCTGCGGTTTTTTTCTTAGCAATATCGTGTTTTCGGTCTTGATCAGTAGCTGGTTTTATGGTTTAGGAGGGAAGATAGGAGGTGATGGAGGAGCAAACCTGGAAATAAGACTGACTTTGAGCATTTCATAAAGGATCACGTGTCGAAGCGTACATCGGTCTGTTGGTGAAGAGATGTCTGCCCCTCACCTTCACTTGTTTGGACTCTCCTTTTTTCCCCTGACCAAGAGTGCCCCTTCATCTTCTGAAATGGAATGGGCAAACGAGTTTGAATCAAATCAGCATTACATAGCTCCAGTGCCTGCAAGCTCTGGAGTTTGCAGCTAAAAGGAAAATTTCAAAGCACAAGCAGTAAACAAATGTCATGCTTTGTGTGCATAGTGTGGTTTTCTATTTTAAAAGCTGTTGTTGAATTAGTATAATGCTTACAAATATGTTAATATTGCCATCTTTAGGAAGACATTCTATATGTTTTGAAGTCAGTAAATACCAAGATGGCAGTCATTTGGGGGAACGTAGTTTACAAAACTTCATACTATTCCTGTCCCTTAGCATCTTATTTCATTCCCTTATTTTCTTAATCTTATTGTCAACTCTGTTTCATTGTTATCCTAAAAAAGGGAATGTCGGTTAGAGTTCTGATGTTTATCCCAGAGAACTAATGCATTTTTCAAGGTTTTATTTTGGAGGCAAGTCTCTCATTCTACTTCAGGCGTTATTCAGATGATTCTTTTAAAAGCAGCTGTCTTTGTATTTCTATTATCTTCTCTAGAATGAATATGTCTTTAAGTCCAGTTACTTGAGTCACAATTCTGCTACGGAAAGCTTGTAAAAAGTTGTTTGAGTTTCAAGCAAGCTATGATCTTGTTAGAAATCCGTGTCTGAGATCTGAAGGGCATACGGATTTCATAACTGAGCCCAGTAAGAGTTGAATGTACCTGCTGAAACCATTGCACAACTCTGGCTGTGAATGGCTCTGTTTATTGCTGTATTTGACAGCACATCACATGCAAGTCTTCAGACGGGCCGTGCAGTCTTTAGATTGCACCAGAGATTTAGCAATGCAGAGAAAGCTGATAGGCTTCCATTTGAAATGGTTGTAACCTTAGGGATTGCTGCTGCTTACTGATAAAAAGGTGAAAAATAAGCCTAATTTCTCTGGTGAACCAAATAATACCAGTAGCCTTGCGTGTTCTGTATTACTGAGTGGCAACAAGTCACTTGTGCCTCAGTATGACTAACTTGGAAACAAGTTCTGCTGCCACAGAATTCAAGACAAAGAGGGTTGGAGTAGCTGTTTTATAATCTGCAGGTCTGCAATAGTAGGCTGTCCTATCCTGTGGAATATTCTACTGTTACACACTGAGGTTGTCAGTGCGCTTTAATTTTCTCAATAGCAGCTGAAATAAAGTACCCCTGGAGATGGTGCAGTGCTGCTCTTCTGTGGAGAAGCACTAATGTAAACTGTGGGCAGTCTTGACTTGACAGCTGTGCTGACAAACCAAAAAAAGATGCTTTTTGCACTAGACAGATGTCTAAGTGTTGGAAATTTTCCAGTGAGAAGCAGAAAAGCTTTATTCTTGCAGTATTTTCATGTCACATGAAGTATGGTTTAAATGAAAGGAATGTTTTCTGATGAGGAATGTTATTGCAGAGCTTTTTAGCATGCAGAGGATTAGCTTGCTAATCACCTCTCTGAGTAACTAGATTCTACCCGTTGTACAGGAAAATTCTTGATGTTGTGAATAACGAGGATGGTGATTAAGGAAACTAGTTATTACTTTAACTTCATTTGATGTATTTGCATGACGCAAGTAGAGCCAGAATGTCTCCTGCATTTGCATATATTTTGTTATAATATTTATCAAAAGTAGGCATGGCATTCATCAATATTTTTTTTTTGAGATAGACACATTGTCGAGGATCTCATACAAATAAAAAAACAATATGAGGAGAAGGTTATATTTAAAAATGCACAATATAGAAGATGACTCTTTATAGCAGGAGTTATACCTGGTGTACACTGGAATTTTGTCCTGGAAATTCTAGTTCAGTAATCCAGTAAATGCTGAAACTTGCAGAAAATTCTTCTCCTGATGTTAAACTACACAGTTGATTTTACAAGCCCTTTTCCTTTTTTGAGTAAACTCATAGTCTGGGTTGATTTTTTTTTTTTTTTTCTCACACACATGGTGTTCCATGGCATCTTCTGCCTTCTATATTTGAATCCTTCATTCTGTTAAAATTCACTTGGATGTCGAAGAGGGTGTTTTTCATTAGGCAGTGAGTTAGACTGATTCCTGCTTTCCTCACCTTAGTGCAGGGCAGGAAGAAGTGGTGGACACTTAATCCCCTGATCGTTTAGAGAGCGTTGATCAAGGGTGGCTTGCTTATGCCTTGTACTGCCCTGTTGTGTGGCACTGTAAGGCATGGTTTGTGATTTGTGAGGCAGAGAATTTGGAATATTTTACGCTAAAAACCAGATAGATAGTCGTGGACACATAGTCAACTATGTAAAGATGGACTAAGGGCTATGGCTGATAGTATTTCACGTGTTTGTACCTGCTGCTTTGTTGAGTAATAAAGATGGGCATAAATTTCATTTGTATTTCTTGAAGAGGTTCGTGCTTTGAGAATTATTTGTGATCCCTGTGGGTTATGCACCTTATCTGAACTGGAACTTCATTAGCAAACTACTACCCCCCTTGCCAAATTTAAGGTGAACGATGAAGGATGTAATACATGTTAAATATACCTAAATGTCATGCTCTATTTCACTAGGCTGGATGAAGGATTTCTTTTCTCCTTTGTAGGTACTCTTCCACTCAGCAAGATGGAAAGCTCAGATTCTAGTGATAAAGGAAACGTTGATCAATCGGAAGCACAACGTCAGAGTCAGCTTGATCGGTTGGATCGAGAAGAAGCTTTCTATCAATTTGTAAACAACCTGAGTGAAGAGGACTACAGACTTATGAGAGATAACAATTTGCTAGGAACACCAGGTAGGTAATGCTTGCGTATGTACATCTTTCTAGAATTGCTTGTTAGGTGATTTGTGTCATTTTCTGTTCTCCTAAAACTGTTTCACCCATTTAGTTTGTGTGCTGCAGTTGTGTTCCATGGTAGGAAGTAGCTTCTTGCTAATTTGGGCATACTGAAATTTGAGCGATCCCCTGACTAGCAGAGAGGCAGTTAGGATGATGTGGATTCATCAGATACAAAAGTCTAGTGTTTACACAACCTGGTGGGAAAACACAGAACTGATCCAGTGCCAGTTGTGGACCTTTACACATTTTTCATCGAAAAGTAATCTCCTTTAAGCATCTGTGTGAAAACTTTGTGCTGGTGAGGTTAAGAGTTTGGAAATAGCATAAGCAATCTGGTGCGAGAGTCTGCACGGGCATTTTTATCTCAGTTTTCAGTTGACTTCTTCCTTTAAATTGACTCTTTATAGGATGAGAACCTAATTCAAACCAGTTCTAATTTAAAACATGACTTCAACTAACTTAAACCTTTTTTTCGTGTTTGTGAAGGTATTATCTTAAATATTTTACTCTGGACAGCCATTTAATTGGTATAGGATGATGAAAATTGCTGATACATTGTAGAGGTTACAGAACCAGAAAGCACAGCTGTCTCGAATAGGTTGAAACTGTTGGATCTTTCAGCTTCAGCAAAACTTACTTAGGACAATGATGCTGAAGTGTCTGGAACTTCCCCTTAGCAACCTGTTTGGCAGTCTCATTATGGCAGGATTTAATTAGGAAAAAAAAAAGAAAAAGACAAGCAGTGGCTTGTACCTTCTTTAGAGGCTTTTGATGATGCTTGCCATACATATGATTTGGAAATATTTTTGGAAAATTTTGCTTATTTTCTAAGGTGAAATTACTGAAGAAGAGTTGCTGAGAAGGCTACACCAAGTTAAAGAAGGTCCGCCACAGCAAAACAGTGATGAGAATAGAGGTATATACAGTATTTGTGAAAACTCTTAACTTTAGCACCCCGTACGGACCTTAACTTGAGTGCAGGAGTGGAACAAGTTAAGCCTAGGCAGGTGCAAGGTGAGCTTTGTTTTAAAACTAAGTGACCATTATGTCTGATATCTGCTGCAGAGGTCAGTTTGGGACAGATTTCACTCATAATGCATTTGTTATTTGCATCAAGATGAAGTTTCATTTAGGTTTCTTTCTTTCTTTTTTTTTTTTAATAAATTTAAGATTGCCTTCCTGTCTGCTTCCTTCCTTTTGGCAATCCCTATTTTTAATGCAACATTCTGCCCTTCCAAAGATGCTATATCGCTTTTGTTATCACCCTTGTGTAGAGATTGGTGGAGGACACTTGGGGCTTGCCCTTGGGGTTCATTCTTAAGTCAAATAGATTTGCTATAAAGCCATTATTCAAGTGAAGGGTCAGGACAAACTTAGTTCTTTATTTAGCCATTGATAGATGACTTAATTTGTTAAAGGAAAACAAAGAATATTGATGTGTTATGACACCTGTAATGTGACTTTCCATTTATTTATGATAAAAAAAGTGTTATTTTGATGACTTGTTCATTATGTGGTGGCTGCAGCCTATCTACTTACTAGAAAAATGTCCACTCCTGCTCCCTTAAAAGAGCTTTAGTAGATAAGAATTCTGAAGCTACGTGTAAAACCACACTAGTACTTGGTAGGATTACGCACTTCTAAATTGTCACTTGTTAAACTAAGCAATTATGTTCTTGGAAAAAGTCACTCCAAAACTAGCTCAGTACTCTAATTTTGGTAGTTCCCTGTCTTTTTCGCAGGTGCAGAGTCCGCAGAAGATGTTTCAAATGGAGATTCTATAATAGACTGGCTTAATTCGGTCCGACAGACTGGAAATACGACACGAAGCGGACAACGAGGAAACCAGTCTTGGAGAGCAGTGAGCCGGACTAACCCAAACAGTGGTGACTTCAGATTCAGTTTGGAAATAAACGTCAACCGTAATAATGGGAACACAAATCCAGAAACTGAGAACGAGCCATCTGTAGAGCCTTCCAGCGGGGAGGATTTGGAAAACAGCCAAAGTGACTCTGAAATTCCAAGGTCTGAATCACCATCTATAAGGCAGCCTGGATCAGAGAGGAGCACTTCGGAGGAGCTAACGACCCAGGAAGCTTCTCCTCCTAGAGGGCAGAGGAGAGCGAGAAGTAGGAGTCCAGAACAGCGGAGAACGCGGGCTAGGACTGATAGAAGTAGGTCACCCATTAATCCAGTGAGCGAGGCTCCTCGCAGGTCTCATCACAACACGTCATCTCAAACACTTGATCACTCCTCGGTGAACGAAGCTGAGGGAAGCTCCAGAACTAGGCAGCACGTGACGTTGAGGCAGCAGACGGTGGGGACTGAGATGCCAAGTGAAAACGCGGTTCTGTTTTCAACCCCCGAAACGAGGCCTGTTCCTCAAGCGGCAGGTTCTTCAGAAACTAATGGCACCGGTGAGTCTGCAACCCCTGGTCAGAGGCCTCCTACCATAGTACTTGATCTTCAGGTGAGAAGAGTTCGTCCAGGAGAGTACCGGCAAAGGGACAGCATAGCCAACAGAACTCGGTCCAGGTCCCAGACACCCAACAACACCGTCACCTACGAAAGCGAACGGGGAGGGTTTAGGCGCACGTTTTCCCGTTCGGAACGGGCTGGAGTGAGAACTTACGTCAGCACCATTAGGATTCCCATCCGGAGGATCTTAAACACAGGCTTGAGCGAGACGACGTCCGTGGCCATTCAGACTATGCTGAGGCAGATCATGACAGGCTTCGGGGAGCTGAGCTACTTCATGTATAGCGATAGCGATGCAGATCCTAGCGGCCCCACTCCAAACCAGAACGTGGATGCTTCCGAGCCGCAGAACGGAGGCGGTGGTTCTTCAAGCAATGAAAGCACAGATGTTAGCTCAGGGGAGGTGTACGAAGGCGGCAATGAAGGTGGCTCAACATCTGGTGCCAGACGGGAAGGTCGGAACACGAGGGGATCGGTCACGTTTGAAGAAAGCGGTTCTCTACCATTCCTTAGCCTAGCACAGTTTTTCCTACTAAACGAAGATGATGACGACCAACCCAGAGGACTCACCAAAGAACAAATTGACAACCTAGCCATGAGGAATTTTGGTGAGAGCGATGCTCTGAAAACCTGTAGTGTGTGTATCACAGAGTACACGGAAGGCAACAAGCTCCGGAAATTGCCTTGTTCGCACGAGTATCATGTCCACTGCATCGATCGCTGGTTATCAGAAAATTCCACTTGTCCCATTTGTCGCAGAGCCGTCTTAGCTTCTGGTAACAGAGAGAGTGTTGTCTAAATGAGATCTGAAATGATGGCCGAGCAGCTAGTGTGATAGTGATGGGCAAAGAAGTCACTTCCTTTATGGCCACTTTTTGAGTGGTACCTCAATGTATAGTAATGACTCGGAGTGAATCTTCCCTCATGAAAACGTTTTCTCTGAATTCAAGCTTTTAAAAATGGCAAAATTTCTTTAATTAGGGTTTTCAAGATCTAGTCAGTTTGGGTGTTAAATTTCACTTGTCCGAAGACATCTTACCGCTTAAAAATATATTTTTTTTTTTCCTTTGTGAAGAGTATTAAATTCTTTTCTCCCCACCCAGCCCGTGCCATCCCAGTCCAATAAACTTTTTGTCCTCAAGATCGTGCTTATGAGGAGTTCTTTGAGAAGTCATCCCAGCTAAATGTACGTGAGTCATAGGGGAATATTTGCAAGAAATCCAACTATCTGAAAAAATATGAACTTAATTGCACATTTGAACATACTTTTAATTTTCGTACTGGGTTAATATTGGACATGTCTGTGTAAATAACACTAATGTTAGCCCTTTCCCCATCACTATGACACGCTGTAGGATGAGCTGTTAGCTTAATTGGGATATTTATCTTGTTGTGGAAATATAAGAATTGCCTATGCTTGTTTAAATAATAAAAAAAAAAAATCTGTTTTAAAATTGTAAAGCTTTTTTGTAGAAGCTCAGTACTTTTCCAATGCACTGTTGTACTAACGCATTAAGAATTAAAATTGTACCATGCTTAGAAATCAAGAATGCTTTTCATACAAAACCCACCACACGGAGAGCAAACTAAATCCGAGAGAGCTGCTTTTGTAAGTGTGTACCTGTCAAGAGCAGTGCATATCTGTACTATTTATGTGAACAGCTACTGTAATATAAAACCAGTTGAATTAGACATCTTAATTGCATTAAAACAAAATGGAAATTAAATGTTATAATTGCAGTGTTTTGGCTCACTAATGCCACCAAAAAAGGATGATAAAAATTAGAAACTGTTCCAATGGCTGGTGATTTCTTGCTCTGGTTACTAACATGGAATAACACAAACCGGTATGTACCAGTTCATTCAGTGAGGTTTATGCCCAATTTTTCTATCAACTTTTACTTTCAATTTTTGAGGCATCTCTGTAACTATTCAGCAGACAAGTACTGACAGGTTTGGTTTAGTTTTGTGTTTATTATATTTTTTTTCACACCAGCTTCAACTGTATTTATTAGTAACCTCTGGATCGTGTCATATATTCAGCGTTGGTTGCCTGGGAGTCCAGTGCCACAGAAAAATAACTTAAGTATTAAATGGAAAACAGATTATTAGAGTGTTAGGTTAAATTTGAAAATTATAATTGATGATGGGAGCACACTTAAACGTGTAGCCAGTTCTAAGAATAACATTAAAAATCCTTCATACCCCTATTGCACAGATTAAAATGAGTTGAATTTACTTTATGTATGTGGCATATTGAAATTGAGAATTGGAGAATGTACCTCAGCTCTCATCAGTGTCAGGGGAAAACAACCTTCCCCTCAATGACCCCTTCTTTGTTTCATTCTGTAATGAGTTTATTTTCTACCTTACACGTGCTCCAGGGAAGGCAATGTTTATTTCAGCTCCAGGGCAGTAGTTATGAAGGGATATGAACTGCTCTTGCTGGCTCTGTGGGAAATGTTACTTGTTCCTCAGATGACAAAACCAAAGCTGGCCTATCTCTTTTTTTTTTTTTTTTTTTTTTTTTTTTTTTAAAACACATTTTTGGTGTGTTTAAAAAAAAAAAAAAAAAAAAAAAAAGTTCTAGGAAAAATATTAAACCC